ACAATGTCCTATTATAGTCGATAAAATGGGATGGTCCAACGTGCAATTAGATTATTTAAATAACGATTGCGAAACGATACTTCTTATAAAGATAAGCAGGAAAGATTGCGAATAACGCTGTTTGCGTACCGAACTACAATACACAGCTCAACAGGAAAAACGCCGGCAGAACTGTTCACTGAAAGAAGGTTGCCTAGAGTATTGGATCGTTTAAAACCATCCGTGAGAGATAAAATGGAAGAAAGCAGGCAAAAATAGAAAATGTACCACGATAGAAAGGGACAAGAACGCAGTTTCGTGAGCAAGTGAGCAAGTTTGGGTAAAACATAAGAAGGATGGGTAAAAGGCATCGTGATTAAAAAAAAGCCTCTCTCTCTTATGATATAGAAACGAGCGGGAAGCTAATGCGATGCCACGCTGATCACATTAGGACGCGATCAGAAAGAAGGGGGGAATAATGTAGTATGGATTATTATTATAGTTAAATGTTAATGTAAAAACACGTTATGTGGTACATTGCTAAAAATATATAGATTGATTTATTTGGAACTTACTCTACCTTTATCTTTGTCTACACAATCATTACTGAGTTGTCTGGTTTTTAGAGGAATATAATTGCAGAATATTAGGAGTTGTTAAGGACAGTTATGGATCTTCGAGTAATCTGGGAGACATAATTATTCCAGGAGAGCTTCTGGTCAAAGATTATGGCTGTAGGTTTTTCTCTAGGTTTTTGACTGTAGGGAAAAATGGATGGGACGGTTATTGAGGTTAAGTAGAGGAAAGTAAGGAAGGGAGCTAATGAGATGTATGGACCCGATGGAAAAAAAAAAAGAAAGAAGATGGAAAAAAGAGGAGGGGTGAGCAATTTTTCTGAAAGTGGAAAATAGATTGACAAGATTTAATAAGTCTGCATCTGATGACAAACTTTATTCAGAAGAATGTTCTTCTGATGAAATCGTATTTGTAGTCATCTTGAAAAACGTACAAAACAAAATCAGTACACTAATGTTCTCAGAAAAAGAAAATATTTGTTTGTTATGAGAAGTAACCATATTTAAGGTTACTCTTTAACATCGTTTAATGATTTATCAAGATATAACGTTAGTTAGATAACTGATAATTAGAAAAAGATTAGCTAGTTATGATAACTGGACACATTGTTGGGCCTAATCAACGTCGGTGCAACGAAAATTCTGTTGAACTGTAATAAACTAATCAAAATTAGTAAAATTAAAGTTAATTATGGTCAATGCCAACGGGTCTTAATTTGTAAAAAAAAATCGGTTCTCAAAAAGAATAATTGAACAGCTATTTCGAACCATAAAATGAATAGTGTGAAAAAAAATACCTTTTTGTACAGTTACACCAACCGATGAATCATTGCAATTTACAAAACCAGTCAAAGTGACCAATACAAGCCCAGCTGCCAAGAAGGACATTGTTAATTCTGAAAATGATAATAAATTAATTTATGAAAATAAAAACAAACAATCACATTTTATAAAACGAAATAAAAAAAAAAAACGTGAAACCACAGAAAACACGAAAGAAATGATAATTTGTCCATACAATTTTCATCAAAATTAACATTAAATAAATTTTAAAAATATACCTAATTACGAACTACTTAATTATAAAATAAATTAATTTATAATCAATGAGTTCATTAAGGGAACAAAGCAGAATAAGCATATTGTGATTATGTGGTACCATTTATTTAGCTTATATTTTATATCATTCGTTTTTACTTTATCTATTTACATTATATATATATATATGGGAAGGGCAGTACTCAGCAGCACTTCTTCCCTGGCTTGTTTCAATTAATTAGATTGTTTAAGGAAGGAAATCTTTAATCAAAACCCTTTTTAGTCTCCTCTTCATATTCGGGAGTATGTCAGCTGTGGCCATGTCTCTTATTAATATGTTATTATATCCGTTTAAATTGGTGTAAAATCGTTTTTAAAGGGTCATTATATGTTGGTCAATTGTTGGAAGGTGGAGCTCAGTATGTAGAGTATTGTTAGTCACGTATCAAAATGGTTTTGTTATTCGTCGCAATAATTTTAATTGGAAGGCCTGAAGTTAAAGTAGGTCTTTTTTGCTGTTGTTGGGTATAATTGGGATGACTACGTCGATTTGGGTTTAAGTAAATATGTGTATGTATTCAATTTCAGTTTTGAAGATTTAGCGAATAGAGGATAAAGTAGTTTAAGTCGGTTGTTAAGTTTCTTACGTTTCATTTTTACATGCATGTCCCCATGTCATCTTTCTGCCGAATTTAAGTCCAAAATGGAGTACCGAGTCCGTTTGAAGAATTTGATTTATATCAATATAAAGTGTAGAGCAGATGTTTTTTTCGAAGAGTAAATTATATATGTTTGGATTTGTGATGTGAACTGAGAAAAATCTTTCGAAGAGTAAAAATTTAAGGATCAGGTAGGATGTGTATGGCAGTATAGTCTTAAGTTAAAAGAGGTTACCGTGGTGCCAGACTTTGTCCACAATACACTCGTTGCATACAGTTTTATTTCTATATATATTGTCCACCAATATAGTCGGTAAGTCCGTGTGATTGATGTGTCGTTGAATGGAATGAGTGAAAGACGAACTGGTGGTCAGGTATTATCTGTCGGTCAGTCAATATGTCAACAATTCTTTTGCATATTAATTATTCAAAAACTTAAGAGCATACAGGAAAGAGGCTAATGGATCCTAGGATGAAGGACTGTATATGTCTTTACATGGTTTGTGAATTATTTTACTGAATGAGTATTTCTCTTGTAATGAAAATTTCGTCCTTAGTATACAGTTGTAAATTGTCAGAATTACTACAGCTTTCTTGGACATTTTTTGGAGTGTTTGAGGTTTTCTTTTCGGTAATTGTTTGGTTTATATTATTTGTAAATATGAATTTACGCTAGTTATGTTAGTGTAGTAGCGAATTGTAATATTTTGAATAAAATGTTTAAAAAACATTATCTAGGTAGTAATTTGAAATTAGTCCATTTTTATTATCAAGTTTCTTACATATGAACATGGTCTGTAATATACCATCTGATTGAGTACTAATTTTAATTATACATAAAACATCTCTCTAAGAAACAATAGAGATTGTTAACACTAAATTAAATATAAAACCAGGAGCCTATCAAATTAACTACATATTATTAAAAAAAAATTTTCAATATAAATTTCAATAATATATATTTTTTAAAATTATTTATTCATGATATTTACAACTGTACTACAATATAAATGCGTCAAGTAATTGTGTACTTAGGAATATAATTGCATGAAAATGCTTGTAGCGAAACTAACCATTGGTAGCACTCTAATAATAAGTCTATATCAGGAGATCACGAGGTCATTTTCTTTTCAGACGACTCGGAGGGAACATGGAAATTAAAATCGTTAATAAGGATAATTTGTTTAAAATTATCTCATCATAAATTTTAATAACCATTATCATATTATTTTTTGAAAAGTACAAATGATTCAGAAGTGGGGAAAATATTGCCGAAAGCCAATAAAAACGATATGTAAAGAAAAACATAAACCGTAAATTCAAAAAAGATATGTTTAATAAATATTGAAAAATTTACATAATTGTCCTAATTTCCTTAATATTGTTTTCTTATTTTAATAAACAAACAATTGTATCATAAACATTAACCATGCGACATGTAGAACGTGTATTTTGAAAAATTGAATTAAATTCAATCATTCGGGGTTGAGCTATGGGGCTCCACCAAGCCTTCAAATTCCTCTCGCATACAGTCCTCGCAATCCAAAATCCTTCGTAAAATCCTCAATGCTCCTTACTTTGTTACAAATAAAATTATCCATAATGACCTTAATGTTCCTTATGTATCAGATTTGGCCCAATCCAGATATCTGTCCTTCCATAATAAACTTCATAACCATCCCAATCCTCTTGTCTCTAACCTTGCTTCCTATTCGATTCCTGATAACCCTCCAAGGCGTCTGAAAAGAAGATGACCACGTGATCTTCTAATATAGACATATTATTAGAGTGCTACCAATGGGTAGTTTCTCAACATGTGTTCCATGTCTTTATACCAATGTGCAAATTTACTAGATGTATTTTTTGTATACAGTTGTAAATATCATTTAAAATAAATTAAAAAAAAAAATTCAATCATTAACCAATAAGAAGAAAACTCTTCTGAAATAAACTAGAAAAGTACTTACAATAGCAATAGTGTATGGAAGAGAAGATTCTCTGAATGAATCCATAAAATATTCTACACCTGACATAACACAAAGCACAACAAAAAAAACTTTTGTTTGTTCAATTGGTTACATTAGCTGTTTTACGAATCATGAATGCTAATTTTGCTTCTTAGCTAATTCTTCTAGTCCCAATTGTTTTAGAATCATCGAGCAGCTAAAATTTGTGAAATGATCTTGTTTCTGACAGAGTTTGAACATCTTAGTGACTTTCTAAAGTAGAACGAGTTCTTTCAACCACTATTAAATAAGTAAAATCTGTTATTTTACATATCTTGTATATTACTTTATCTTTTTATTTATTCTTCTTTTTTTTTTTCTTTTTTCTTTCTCTTCTTACTTGGTTATTTTTATTTTCCCTTCTTATGTACATATTGTATGAATGAATACTATAGCATCAACAAATGCCCTTCAGTGTGGTAGACTGTATTAATACTCAATAAAAAAAATAAATAAAAAAAAAGTAAAAAGGGAAATGCAATTTTTTTTTTTATTTCTCTACTAGCAAATATTTAATAGCTCAATCATTAAGGGATTTAATTAATTTCCGATGATAACATTAAACCAAAAATAAGAATTTGGACGAAATATTACATTACTACGCACGTGTGTACGCTGTTGATAAATAACAATAGCTCTCATTAAGACGGATATGAACCAACTGAATAAAAATAAACATTGTCCTATTTACATAATAAAAAATAATTAATGTTCAAAGGTAAATCATGACTTGATTTAGCAAAATATTGGTTTTGAGCATGACAAATGAGGCTAATTGCAATCAGTTGAATGAAGGTGACAATGACATCTAACAAGAATTGGTTTTCATTAATAAATCCGCACATCCTTAGCCACATCACTAGGACATCATCAAAGAACAAACTTAAGGTGAGTCGAAACTTTAATTTAATATAAATAAACTACTTTAAATATTAATTTGTAAATATGTGAGTTCCAAAATGTTCGAGTGAATTCGGATAATATATAATTCTAACCACTTGTAACAATGTATTAACTATACATAGAACATTGAAAATTAATAATAAATACGATGAATATTTCAGCTAATTAACAGTAGAAGCAAGGGGAGAGAAGAGGGGGAAATTATTTCAAGAAATTACCAGGGTAACGAAAGACGAAGCTTAAAAACCTATTTCAAGAGATGTTATAAAGTCTATATTGAAATCAATAGTTTTTTAAATATTTTTATGGGGTATTTGCGTTTGATTCATCTACGTACATTTCAGTCCCCATTTTAAACCGATACCAGTTCTCTATGGCAAAAATAAGAATTTCGGTGAAGTTGTTTTTAACATATTTATTTTCTCTTTTAGCTATGCTATAATATTTATTTTTATATCTATAAATTTATTGAAAATTTTAATGAATTTTATTCATACATTACCTAGCACATAAAGTATATGTGTGAGCTATCGATGACATTACAACATATTACTTCCAATTAGAATTTAATTTTCACAAATACATTTTTTTTCAAAGGTATAAATTATGATTTCAGGAAAACAATGTTTTCACTGACGTTTGTACTTATCTTGCTTGGACTTGCAGCTTCCACACAGTGCCTCATTGATGAGTCTGAAGCCGATGTTTCAATAAAATTAGAACGCGAAAGTCGTGCACTAAAACAGCTCAAAGGTAATATTTTTAGTTACAAAAAAAATTTTGTCTGTGGATACATTGTAATATTTATTGTGATAGCTATTAAATATTACGACTCTTTCGGTCGTTTCTATATCAAAAAAGAATCATAGTTAAAATTAAGTGAAAATAGTTTTACAACCTATGTGTGATACATTTGGTAATCTTAATTCTATTTTTTTTTAAATGGTTATTTTTCTAGAAGAAATAGAAAGAAACTAAATATATAACATATAATGGTTGAGTGATCCTCGAACGTCAAATAAAAGACAACCAACGTAAAGCTTGGTAGATGCTTATATTTTTTAAAAATAAGAACTTACTGTGATTGCTTCAAGTATCTCTCTCGGAAACATATCTTGACCGATGAAAGAAATTATTTTTTTTATTTTGTTTGCTCAAGTCTCCCACACAAATAACAAAACTAAATTATTTTTTATGCTTAAAAATTCATTTAAATCAAAAAATAATAATTTATTCTAATTTTACTAATCTTCACAAATGTTTGGGCGCAAATCCGCCAGAAACGACATAGTGGACTCGTCCCTTGGTGGTAACTGTTCAATATTATATACGATAAAGGTTAATACAAAAAACTGTTTTAGCTTTTAGATCATTCGTGTCGATAATAATAGTAAATATTTCCCTAATAATCTGTAATGATATTATACTATAATAATATAAGTAATATTATTTCCAATTTTAGTATCAGTTATTGTCCAGTAAACAGGTGGGTAAGAAAGTCATGCATGCTTATTCCCGATAAAGCAGATTTTAAAATCATTAATATCAAGTAAAGATAGTAGTAAGTAAAGGTCATCGACTGGTGAGACCTTGTACTTATGAGTGAGGCCAATATGTGTGAAAAAGAATGACACGATATCGAATATCTGATAAATACACAATTTCTCTGGCAAACATTCCTATCTTTATTAACAGAGAACCGTCGAAAACTGAAAAATATCATTATAATTTCATACACCTCATAATAGTTATGAAAAATAAAGAAGGCGTAAGAATAAAATAATATTTTCAATTAAGTTCTAAAACGATTTTTGGCCGTACATATATCGTTGAACAGTTATTACTTCTTACTTGTCAAATTTATAACTTAACTGTGCGCACCGGAGATAATTACACTCAGAAAATG